AGTTCCCGTGGGGTTCCCGTGGAGTTTTCGTGGTGTTATTTTGGGGTTCCCGTGGAGTTCCCGTGGAGTTCCCGTGGAGTTCCTGTGGGGTTCCCGTGGAGTTCCCGTGGAGTTCCCGTAAGTTCCCGTGGAGTTTCCGTGGGGTTCCCGTGGAGTTCCCGTGGGGTTCCCGTGGAGTTCCCGTGGAGTTTCCGTGGGGTTCCCGTCGTGGTTTTTGTGGGGGTTCCCGTGGGGTTTTTGCGGGGTTCTCGTGGAGTGCCCGTGGGGTTCCCCGTGGAGTTCTCGTAGGGGTTCCCCGTGGGAATTGCCTCTGAATCTGACCCGGAGTTTGACCCCGACCTTTGCCACCCAGTTTAACCCCAGGATTGGGTTTAGTGTTAACGCTTCAAGGCCTTCTTCAAGTGCCACGTGTCTCCGTCCAAGTCTTGTGCGGAAGACTATGATTTCCTCGTGCGAGGTATGCTGCCGGTGGGACTTCTCAGACAGCCGTAAAGCCAATCTGGACTCTTGACGTAACACGGTCAGGTCAAAGCCCTGAAGCGACATCCGAGCAGACACATTGCTGTCCTCGACAGCAAGCACTGCTGAAATGAGTTCCAAGCCGAGGTTCTGCATGCGGACGAGTCGCTGGTGCGACCAGCAGATAAGTGCAAGTCCGAATTGACAGCTCGCTCGTGTACAGTGTTGGATGTTCGCACGGCTCCTATATAGTAAATCAGTTTGGATCGGAAACTGAGTCGAATTGGAGCCATGCAAGCTTTCCAAGTCGCATTCTGGCTTCTCTCTGAGACGGAGGAAGCCGCGGCACGTTTCGAGAGGAGACGTCGAGGGCGCACCTCACGAAGCCTCAGAAAAAAGTGAGATATGCGGATGACGTTTAGTCGCAGCGGTCTGACGGGCTTGAGCAGGAGTTACCCCACGAAGGGTCGTGTCAGAGCATGTAGATCGGCCCAGTCTTGCAATCCGAGAAGGTGATGCAAGGGAGTGCAGTTTTGTTTAGGAATTACAAAAATCCTACACAGAAGAAGCAGGAGGCCCGCAATTGGGTTAGAAAATGCTCGAAGCAGCCGATCGAAATTCAAAATCACAATCGTGGCTTCCTCACTCTGTACTGTGGCCCGTGAGGGCACGAGCTCCATCACGGACCTGATCCTGGGGCAGCTGGCTTTCAACTTCATCGCTCTGTTGATTGCGTATGCAGTGTCGGTGCTCGCCTGAGCCATCCGATGCTGGAGGGTAAGCAAGAGATGTGCTTGGGCATCCCGAACTTCATCGTGACGGAAAAGACTTCCGATGTCGGCACGACAATTTTGGCTGAGGTGGCCGTTCAAGCTTTCATGTGCGCGTGGGACAGGCGTGCGACAACTTGTCGACAACGAAGCTCCACCTGAACCAGACTACATGCAGCTCGGTTATCTCTGCTTTCCACACCCAGCCGTGCGAGTTTGGTCGCATCCGGAAAGGTGATGAGATGAGTTATTTCCCATTGCATCAGATGCCTTACATGCCATCGTGCACGAATCAATGCGGTGGCTTTTGCCATGAACAGCAAGGCCACCACTTGCAAGGAGCTGAAGGCTTCGTCCTAGGATGCACGAATGTGAAGAGGGCTGGGACGCACCTCATTGAGCGGGCGAAGCATGAAGACAATGCTAGGCAAAGACTTCCCAAACCCGGTGCAGAAGAGAGCGATGTCCTATTGTAGTCGCCATCTTCATGCCGGAAAAATGCAGTACCACAAGCAATACCTTGGACAAATCGCATCCATCGAAGCAGGCGGATGTCAGCTTCAAGCCAATCTGGTGAGAGCCGTGAGGGCAGCGCCGACTCTACCTGGTCTGATTGGACCGACAGACGAGGCCTTGTGACCCAATGTACGGAAAGCGCATTCCGGAACTACAACATCGGGCGCTAGCCTTCGGCCCCCTCAGCCCGAAAAGAGGAGAGCTTGCAAGGGCGAGTGCTTCTCCGACCATTGGTTAGGCGCTGAGATGACGCTGCATGGTGTAATACAGCCCCATGCTTCGATACATGCGGAACAAATGCTCCTCTTCCTGGTCCAAAACTGCCCTGTATGCCGAGTGCGGTGAAGGCATGATCCGAGAGAAATTGCCGTTTGATTTTGTGGGGCTTGTTTCAAGCCAATGGATTTCTTTGGGTGAACTTTGAAGACGCGGCATTCTTCAGACAGTGCCGGTTCTTGTGCACATGTTTCTTACTTGCCAGAACAGCACAGAAGCTTGGATTCACTTGCCTCGGACTGAGGGGTTGCAACAATGAACATGGCCAACGCTTTACACCCATAGCTAAGCCTACGAGCGCATCCATGGTTCACAGCAGAAATACAACACATTTTCACAGAAAGTCCGTGGCTTGTGCTGGCGAAGGTGCTTCCAGGATCTTCCAGGAGCACTTGCACTCCGCAGAGCAATCGAAAGCGTCGCTTTGCTGCATTTTTGCAGATTCGAGGTAGATGTGTGTGTGTGTGTGTGTGTCTGTGAGAGGTTGTACAACTTCGAAAGCTTTGGAAGCTTTAAGGGATTACGGCCGCCGTCGTCGAAGGTGCTGTTCGTAGAGTGTCGAGAGATTCAAACCCGAAAATCCACAAACCCCAGAGCCTAAGCTCCACCACAACCGTAAAGCCCTCGAGACGCTTTGAAACTCCCCAAACACCACTCCCAAGGACCAGCACTTCAACACAGCAACGTGCGCTCCCGTACCACAATCGTCAAGCTCAACAACAGCACCGGCTCAATCAATTCGGCCGAAGGACAAACACCAGCATGATGAACAACATTCCCAATTTTTACAACCCCAGCTTCGGTGTAGGGGTTTAGATTGTTTTAGAGGTGTTTAGCATGCAAAGTTTGTTTGGTTTGTGTTTGGATGGAGGATTAAAGTTCGAGGGTTGTCTCCCGCGGTACACGATTGAGGTTCCTGACAAGGTCAGCAGGTGCAGAGGATGTGCTCCGGTGAGCAGCGTCGTAGCGGGTCAGCAAAGGACATTGACATGATGATGCATAGACCAGCTTGGAAACGCAGTTTGCTGTAGCGTGGCTCGCCTTTTGATCTCAGCTGCAGCCATCTTCGGCTTAGAACACAACGACCTGATGGACGTGCAATCCGAGATTTTTTGGTTCCTTTGCGAGAAAGGTGGATGGGTCGAGACCGTCGAGATCCGAGATTTTTATGCCCGAGGACATGATGCAGCTGGTCGCAAGCGCGATGTTAATCCACATTTGTACGCGCTTGAGAAGCAAGGGAAAATCAGCAGGGACACCAGCTCAGGCAAACCACGCTGGAGAAGCGCTCAGAACGACACTACCGGTAATGCAGCACCGCAGCAGCAAGAGTCAAATGCTTCTGACGCGAGACCCTCATCTTGCCAAAGTCCTGATCTAGCTTCTGCAAAGGGTGAAGTAAAAAATGCAAAGGGACAGCTGCTTACTTTGTTTGGGCAGCATGCTGTAAGCTTTGCAAACTCGGAAGAGAATGGTCGCTTCCGTGCCACAGCTCAAGTTGGGCAGCAGGAGCCTCGTGCAGGGGAGCTGTGCTCGACCAAAGCGGCCGCGCAGCAGAGCGCAGCAGAAGCGGCCCTGCGGCATGTTCTCCAACATCCGAAGCTTATTCCTCAGGAGTCGCCAAGCGGAGATTGGAAGGGACGTTTACAGCAAACAGTGCAATCTTCAGGCACACTGCCTTGCTACAAAACCATACCCTCCAACAATGGCGGCTTTGTTTCCACAGTCATTGTCGGGGCTCAGGAGTCAGTATCGCTCATTTCGGCGCGCCGCAAAATCGATGCCGAACAGTTTGCGGCACAGGTAGCTCTGGAGCAGCTTCAGCTCATCGGCAAGACTCCGGCGGCCGACAGAAGTAGCGTTGATCCCAGCTGCTCTTGCTGCAACCACGGAATCAACCCTGGAGGACGCAGCCGCAGCACTGCAGCCTTCAATTTCTACATGTGTCGATACAGTAGACAAGGACCTGCAAATCGAGGCTCTGCGTGAGCAGTGCGATGAGCACGAGAATCTGAAACAGCTGCTCCAGTCAAGCCAGGACTACCAAAAGATCCGCGGTAACTTTTCCCATTGCATCAAGGCGGCCTACAGGGATGGTGCTATTGATGAGAAAGAGATGAAGCGGTTGCAGATTGTCAACGGGCGGGGCAACTGCGCCAAGCACTTCCCTGAGAAACTGCAACCCAAACAGGCTGACGCCGCGTCGATTTCCTGCCCAGGTTCGACTCCCGAAGCCTCTGCAAAGCTACTTGTCGACTTCCAGGATATGGACTGAAGTCGCGCGATACTGCGAGCATCGTGTCACTGTCAGCTGAGAAAGTCAGGTGAGGTCCAGGCCAAGCAGCTGGATGTCCTGCATTCGCTGAGCCCGCAGCCCTGGTACCGCAGCGGAAAATCATGTCTCAGGGCTTTGGCAACCGATCCTGCCCCTGAGTTTGCAGAAGAGCCTCTGGCAGTTTTCGAACTGAGTATGCCCCATCTCGATCCTGATACACAAGCTGAAAAGGAAGCCCTGAGCCCTTGAATCTAATCCACACTCATTACACGACGAGCGTCGTGCACGTTGACTAGGACACAGTTCCCGCGTCAATGAAGCGGAATACGGAAAGGATGAAGGTCTTTCAAGCTTTCAAGCATTTAGTCCTTCCATTCGTAGCCTTGAAGCTTTAGCCCTCGAGCTCCAAACCCGTCAGTCCATGAAGCCTTCCAGAATTGAAAGATTTTGCAAAGTGAAGTTTTTGTAGTTTGGAGCTTTTTAGCCGTTCGTGGTGTATCATAGTGTGCCCTGAAGCCACAAACGCTGAACCCTTTGAAGCCTACACTGAAAAAGTCAGCCTTGCGTGTTTCGGATCATGGGTAGGAGAGTTCAACATCCGCACGCGGACTTCTTTGAAAGGTATTTAGGGTTTTTAGTTGTTTACGGATCTAGACTTCAGAGTGCTGGATTCAGGATTGCCGAATCATGTGCTAATAAATGAAGATCCCAAATACAGCTCCTGCGCCGCAAGGATCCGTGAAGGAACCACGCGGAGATGGTGCCAGTGATCGTTGGGATCCCGGCGCCTGTCTAGCCGCTGGCCGAGCTTAGGGCTTGGGCTTTACAGGTGTCCCTCGCGAGGGTGCTTAAAGGCACTTACTGTCCACTCGGGCAGATCACGAATTTGTGCAAAAAAATCTTCCAGAATGGCTTTAAGCAGTGGTGTCGTTCAAGGGCTGGTACTCCATAATCGCGAGGTTGCGAGTGGCTACTCAAGCACATAGATGCATAAACTCATGCCTGGTGCAACCCAGGTCCTTTTCAGGCGCCCCGAGTTGGCCGCGTCCAAGGCCACACCGCCGGCAGCGGAGCCGAGAGGCCCGTCCTAGGGTTTAGGGTTTAGGGTTTAGGGTTTAGGGTTCAGGGTTCAGGGTTCAGGGTTTAGGGTTTAGGGTTTAGAAACACGG